TAAGCAAAGGCTCCCTTCTGCCCTCCTGTCTCCCTCAGGGTGGCTATAGAAGCTATTATAGAATCCCTGTTCCCCACGGTCGTTCATAGAAACCAGAACCTCTTTTCCACAAACCCAGCCATGTTACTTTAACTTTTCCCCAACTCTCTGTGTAAAAACTGGCAATAAAGAAGTTCTCACAGCTACCATGTTTGACTGTAGCTCATAGGCCCCCCTTCCAGAGCCTTCTGCCCCATACCCGGAAGGGAGGAATGCTGCACAGAGGGACCAGGAAGAATCTAGACAGACAGGGCCTGGCTGGGCTTCCCCACTCAGTCTGCAGCAGTGGATCATGCCCTTTCCCCCTTTCTGTCCAATCATATTTCTACACGACTGTCCATACTTTGTTGAACCTAAGCATAAAAATCACGAGTTTCCCTGTATCTTTGGATTTCCATGCTGAAGGCTCCCATGTCAGGTAAAACTGTGATTCAGTGAGTCTGTTGCCTTTCTCCTGTGAAGCTGGCTTTTTCCAGTTGACTTTCTGGGAACCCTCAGAGGGCAAAAGGGGGCCGGGCGCGGTGGCTCGCACCTGCAATCCTAGCACTGTGGGAGGCCGAGGTGGGAGGATTGCTTGAGGCCAGGAGATTGAGACCAGCCTGAGCAAGGCAAGAGTGACACCTTGTCTCTACTAAAAACAGAAAAAGTTAGCCAGGCATTGTGGTGCGCACCTGGAGTCCCAGCTACTCGGGAGGCTGAGGCAAGAGGATGGCTTGAGCCCAGGAATTTGAGGTTGCTGTGAGCAGGCTGAAAGAAAAAGAAAAAGGGCGAAGGGAAATTTCCCCTTGGCCTCCACACGCCTCCCTGGCTTATAGGCTGTGACAGGGCCACAGGGAAGCTCTGGCTGCCAGAGGGCCTTGGCCCGGTAGCCTTGGCGCTAATCTCCAAAGCCTTGCTCCCAGGGCCGGCATTGCCCTCTGGTGTGGGCCACCTCACCTGTCACCCGGATCTCCACTGTGGCAGTCAAGCCCGCGTCTCCAGAGAGCCACCGGCATAAAGGTACGCCTCAGACTTTAATTAGACTTTGCTCTCCTCATAATCCTGCTTCCAGCCTAATTGAGCCACAAGACTTTATAATAATTCTTACCATGGGCCAGGCGCGGTGGCTCACGCCTGCAATCCTAGCCCTCTGGGAGGCCGAGGTGGGAGGCTCATTTGAACTCAGGAGTTCAAGACCAGCCTGAGGAATAGCAAGATCCGATCTCTACCAAAAAGAGAAAAAATTAGCCGGGCATGGTGGCGCATGCTTGTCGTCCCAGCTACTCCGGAGGCTGAGGCAGGAGGATCGCTTGAGCCCAGGAGTTTGAGGTTGCTGTGAGCTAGGGTGACGCCACGGCACTCACTCTAGCCTGGGTGACAGAGTGAGACTCTGTCTCAAAAAAAAGAAAGAAAGAAAAGAAATGGAGTCTCATTGTTGCCCAGTCTTGTCTCAAACTCCTGAACTTAAGTGATTCTCCTATCTCAGCCTCCTCACTGGGAGTGAGCCATCGCACCCAGCAGTGTTTTATAGTTTTGATTGTAGAGATCTTTCACTTTGTTGGTTAAATTTATTTCTGGGTTTTATTTTTGGTAGCTATTGTAAATGGGATCGCTTTCTTGATTTCTTTTTCGAATTGTTAATATTTGTGTCTAGAAAAGCTACTGATTTTTTGAATGTTGATTTGTAAAAAGTTTATTTTAGTTTTTTAAATTGAAAAATAATTATTGTACATATTCATGGTGTACATAATGATGTTTCTGTATGTATGATGCACAGTGATCAGATCAGGGAAATTAGTATATCCATCATCTCAGACATTATGTTGGGAATATTCAACATCCTCCTTCTAGCTATTTCAAACGACATAATATATTGTTAACTATAGTCATCCTACAGTGGTATAGAACACTAGAATTTCTCCTACCTACCTGTAATTTTGTATCCTTTAAAGAAATCTCTCCTTATCCTCTCTTCCCCTGTTTTTCCCAGCCTCCAGCATACTCTACTTTTTACCTCTATGACATCAACTTTCTTTTAGCTTGAACATATGAATGAGAACATGTGGTGTTTAACTTATTGTTTCTGGCTTATTTCAGTTAACACAATGTCCTCCAGTTCCATTCATGAATGGATGGATGAATCCATTGATCCCTGAATGACAGGATTCCATTCTTTTTCGTGACTGCATAGTATTCCACTATGTATATAATATTATATACCACATTTTCTTTTATCTGTTCTCTGTTTCTGGACACCAAGGTTGATTCCATAGTTGGGCCATTATAAACAGTGCTGCAGTAAACATGGGGGAGCAGATGTCTCTTCAGTATGATTGCCTTTACTTTGTATAAATTGTCAGTAGGAGGGATGTGGGTCATGTGGTAGTTCTATTTGTAGTTTTGGGGGGTTTTGTTCTCCGTAGCAACCGTACTAGTTGCGTTCCCACTAACAGTGTGTAAGAGTCCACTTTTCTGAGCATCGTTGCCAGCATTTGCTATTTTTCGTCTTCTGATAATATCCATCCTATTTAGGGCGAGATGCTGTCTCACTGTGGTTTTGACTTGCATTTTCCTGATGATTAGTAATGTTGAGCATTTTTTCATATACTTTTTGGTCATTTGTAAGAAATGTTGGTTCAGATCATTTCTTCATTTATTATTATTTATTTATTTATTTATTTTGAGACAGAGTCTCACTCTGTTGCCCAGACTAGAGTGCTGTGGCGTCAGCCTAGCTCACAGCAACCTCAAACTCCTGGGCTCAAGCGATCCTCCTGCCTCAGCCTCCCGAGTAGCTGGGACTGCTGGCATGCGCCACTACGCCCAGTTAATTTTTTATATTTTTAGTTGACCAGCCAAATTTCTTCTATTTTTCAGTAGAGATAGGGTCTGACTCTTGCTCAGGCTAGTCTCAACCTTCTGAGCTTAAGTGATCCTCCTGCCTCCACCTCCCAGAGTACCAGGATCACAGGTGTGAGCCCTCATAGCCAGTCACATTTAAAATTTTCATGGCCAGCCACATTTAGATCTTTGATCCACTTTGAGTTGATTTTGTTTGTTTGTTTTGAGACAGGGTCTCACTCTGTTGCGGGATAGAGTGCCGTGGCATCAGCCTAGCTCACAGCAACCTCAAACTCCTAGGCTCGAGCAATCCTCCTGCCTCAGCCTCCCCAGTAGCTGGGACTACAGGTAGGTGCCACCATGCCTGGCTAATTTTCTCTCTATATATTTTGGCTGTCCAATTAACTTCTTTCTATTTTGGGTAGGGACGGGGTCTCGCTCTTGCCCAGGCTGGTTTAGAACTCCTGAGCTCAAACGTCCACCCGTCTGGGCCTCCCAGAGTGCTGGGGTGACAGGCGTGAGCCACCGCGCCCCTCCTGGGGGTGATCTTACGTCCCACCCCCATAGCCAGGGCGAGTGATCACTCTCGGTGCTTTTCCGTCTTGCTTCTCAGCAGCTGGCGGCATCGTCCCCAACTCCACCGGAGATGGGCTGTGAGGGCGTCCGCCGGTGGGGCCGGAAGCTCGTGCGCAGGCGGCCCCTGGAGCCGAGCGCAGGGGCTGCGGGCCGCCTGTCCCGCTGTCTCAGCACCCTGGACCTGGTGGCCCTGGGTGTGGGCAGCACCCTGGGAGCAGGCGTGTACGTCCTGGCCGGGGAAGTGGCCAGAGACAATGCGGGCCCGGCCATCGTCATCTGCTTCTTGGTGGCCGCCCTGTCTTCCGTGCTGTCTGGACTCTGCTATGCCGAGTTCGGGGCCCGGGTGCCGTGCTCCGGTTCTGCCTATCTCTACAGCTATGTCACCGTGGGCCAGCTAGTGGCTTTTGTCACCGGCTGGAACCTCATTCTCTCCTATGTCATTGGTGAGACGATGGGGCAGGGATGGAGGGGCGGGAAAAATGAGGGACGCAGGGCCAGAATGAGGGGGACGGAGTGGCCTTCACCCTCATTTTGCAGTCCACCATGGGGGGAGTGGGGATGGCGGGAGGGAGACCTCGGAATGTCATTCTCCTCAGCTCCGCTTGGCTTCCCTTCAACGACTGAAGAACAAACCAAGAAGAAAGGGAGTGTAGGGTGTGGGAAGAGCTCTTGTACATGCGGGGCAGACAGGTCCCCAAGCCTGTCCCCACCGTTGTGAAGCCTTCCCTCAGCTGCCACCGGTGTGAGATTTCCTCTGACCACTCCTTTGTTTTTTGGGTTTTTTTTGAGACAGAGTCTCACTGTGTTGCCCAGGCTAGAGTGAGTGCCGTGGCGTCAGCCTAGCTCACAGCAACCTCAGACTCCTGGGCTCAAGCGATCCTCCTGCCTCAGCCTCCCGAGTAGCTGGGACTACAGGCATGCGCCACCATGCCCGCCTAATTTTTTCTATATGTATTAGCTGGCCAATTAATTTCTTTCTATTTGTGGTAGAGACGGGGTCTCGCTCTTGCTCAGGCTGGTTTCGAACTCCTGACATTGAGCGATCCTCCCGCCTCGGCCTCCCAGAGAGCTACGATTACAGGCTGAGCCACCCGCCCGCCTCTTACCGTGAAGTGCAGTCACCCTGCAGGCAGTGGAACACTGGAAAACGGGACGGCGGGGTGTGGCCGCGTGCTGGCGCAGGGCTGTCCCCGCTCATCACTGCTGTGAAGCGGCTCCCTGCTCGGGTGTCCGTCATCCGTGCCCGCCCCCTCCTCCCGGGGAAACAAGCTCTTTGAGATTAGGGCTTTTTTCTTTTTCTTTATAAACTGAGCGCGGCGCGGATGGGTCAGTGGACGCTGGGGACTGAACGTCCCTCCTCCGCCGCTGCAGGGGCCGCGAGCGTGGCCCGGGCCTGGAGCTTCGCCTTCGACAACCTGACTGGGAACCACATCTCCCGCGCCCTGCAGGGCGCCCTGTCGCTCCACGTGCCCCGAGTGCTGGCCAAGTACCCGGATTTCTTCGCGCTGGGCCTGGTGCTGCTCCTCACTGGTAGGGCTGGCCGCGGCAGGGGCGAGTGGGAGCAGCCGGAGGGGCGGGAAGGGGCGTGGGAGAGGCTGGGGAGGCCACTGCGGAGCGGGTGAGAACCGAGGACTGGGCTGGGCTCACGCCTGTGATCCTAGCACTCTGGGAGATGGAGGCAGGTGGAGTGCTCGAGGTCAGGCGTTCGAGACCAGCCTGAGCAAGAGACCCCGTCTCTACTAAAAATAGAAAGAACTTAAATGACCAACTAAAAGACAGATGTATATATATATAAAATCAGCCGGGCATGGTGGCGCATGCCTGTGGTCCCAGCTACTCGGGAGGCTGAGGCAGGAGGATCGCTTGAGCCCAGGAGTTTGAGGTTGCTGTGAGCTAGGCTGATGCCACGGCACTCACTCTAGCCTGGGCAACAAAGCGAGACTCTGTCTCAAAACAGTAAAAATAAAAAAATGAAACTACATAAAGTGTGCAGTTCCCTGACATTTAGTACATTCGCAGGGCTGTGCACGCACCTCGATCTAGATCCACATTTCCATCGCCGCAGGAGGAAGCCCTGCGCCCTTTAGGCAGCCTTTCCTCAGTCCCCGTGTCGCCGGGCCGCCACTCATGTGCTCTCTGTCTCTTGGGGTCTGTGGGTTCTGGACATTTCCTCCTTCCCCCAGGCTTGCTGGCCCTGGGAGCTCGGGAGTCGGCCCTGGCCACCAAAATATTCACGAGTGTGAACCTTCTGGTTCTGAGCGGGGTCACCGTGTCCGGCTTCATCAAGGGGGACCTGCACAACTGGAGGCTCACGGAGCGGGACTACACGCGGGCCACGGCCGGGCCCAACGGCTCGCACAGGTGCGCGGGGCTGCGCGGGGCGGGGACGGGACGGGACTGCGCGGGGCGGGGACGGGACGGGTCGGGGCTGCGCGGGGCGGGGACGGGACGGGACGGGACGGGGCTGCGCGGGGCGCGGGCGGGACGGGACGGGCAGGCACGGCCTGGCGCCCAGAGCTGGCTGAGCGCCGCCCACCGCTGACCGTCTTCCTCTGTCGCCCTAGCTTGGGCCCCCTCGGCTCCGGAGGGTTTGTGCCTTTTGGCGTCAGAGGGATTCTCCGCGGAGCAGCGCCCTGCTTCTTCGCCTTCGTGGGCTTTGACTCCATCGCCACCACCGGTAGCGCGGGCTCCTGGCCACGGGGCCCGGCCGGGGGCCGCCTGGGCCGGCCTTGGGCGCAGGGCGCTGGTGGGGGAGGGGGGTCGGCCTCCCGGGGTCCCGACCCCGCCGCCCCGCAGGGGAGGAGGCCCGTGGCCTCCCGGGGTCCTGACCCCGCCAACCTGCAGGTGAGGAGGCCCGCGGCCTCCCGGGGTCCTGACCCCGCCGCCCCGCAGGGGAGGAGGCCCGCGGCCTCCCGGGGGTCCTGACCCCGCCGTCCCGCAGGGGAGGAGGCCCGCGGCCTCCCGGGGGTCCTGACCCCGTCGTCCCGCAGGGGAGGAGGCCCGTGGCCTCCCAGGGTCCTGACCCCGCCGCCTCCCGGGGTCCTGACCCCGCGTCCCGCAGGGGAGGAGGCCCGCCGCCCGCAGCGCGCCATCCCGCTGGGCATCGCGCTCACGCTCTCCGTCTGCTTCCTGGCCTACTGCGGCGTGGCGGCCGCGCTCACGCTCATGGTGCCCTACTACGAGATCCGCCGGGACAGCCCCCTGCCGCAGGCCTTCGTCCGCGCGGGCTGGGCGCCCGTGCGCTTCGCGGTGGCCGTGGGCACGCTCTGCGCCCTGTCGTCCAGGTCAGCGCCGGCGTGGCCCCGCCCGCCCGCAGGTCCCCGGCTCCCGCGTGGGGGCTCCCGTGTCCCCACGCGCCGCTCTTGTCCCCCAGCCTCCTGGGCGCCATGTTCCCCGTGCCGCGCGTCGTCTACAACATGGCCCAGGACGGGCTCCTCTTCCGCCGCCTGGCCCGCGTGCACCCGCGCACCGGCACGCCCGCGGCCGCCACCGTCCTGTCCGGGCTCTTCGCAGGTGAGCCGCCCAGCCTGGTCCTCGCCTGGTGTTTCCGCTGGCTGCTTTCTCATCCTCCCGTTTCCATCTGTTTCTCTTCTTTTCTTTCTTTCTTTTTTTGTTTGCTTTCATCATTATTATTATTTTTTTCAGACAGAGCCTCACTCTCTTGCCCCGGCTAGAGTGAGTGCC